GGTGAGGAGGCAAGCCATGAGTCGCACTCGTTTAGACTCCAGCCAAGTTCCAGGTGTTTTTTTTTTATTTGAGCTCGCAACTTTCTTTTGCCGACGGTCATGCAACGAGCAGGCAGACAACACAAGCGTGGCGTGTTACACGTGCGTGACTATGGAAGGCGGTCAGACAACAACAGCAGCAACGACAAACAAAACTTGCATTTATATTGCGCGCCCGTAACGTAACAATTGTCTCGGGAGCGTGGCTTATTTATTTTTTAAGCCTAGGGGACCCCTTCCGCCAGCGTTTCGCTCGGAATTCGCGCGGCGGCCTTCTGAGTCGGCGGCGCGTCCGCGTGTTGTTGGCGTTGCAAGGCTCCTCTCCCGCCGGTGGCTTCCGAACTCCCGGACGATGCCCTCGAGAAAGTTAGCGTGTGGCAAGAAAAGATAAGGGCTCGGCAGAGGAAATTGCTTCCTTGGATTCTCCCGAGTGGTTGCTTGCGCTGCAACAGGATAACATGAATCCGCGAGAGAATTAATGATAAATCATGTCCGTGCTTTAGGCCAATATATGGAGTAATTGGGCGTGGCTTTGCACATATAAGGAATCATGGAACGGGAATGGACCGATTTTTTTACGATACCATGCTTGATCCATGCCTGATCCATGCTCGAACACAAGCTTGGATATTTTGAATAGAATTAGTTTATTTTATCGTTATGAAGTGATTCCTGTCACATGCTTATGGATCTAATGAGACGTAGTCTTAGGTTTTTTCGGTAAAGTCACGTAGGTAAAAAAATAATAAAATAAACTAATAATAAATAAAAATAAACCAATTTAATCACGACGTTTCGGAGGCAACACAAGTCTCCGTCTTCAGGTGGGACCGTCACAGCTAAATTTACTGTATCACTGGATACGTCGTGATTTAATTGATTTATTTTGATTAATTATTATTGTATATTATTATTTTTTACCTACGTGACTTTACCGAAAAAAAACCTAAGGGTATGAATCCTTGCAGTCACGAAAGCTTCAAATCTAGAATCTAATGAGACGATTTGTGGATCGAAAAAGGCCACATTAGCCCGTCCCGTGACGCCCAATGGCTCAGTTCCACAGTAACACAATGCATCATTAATTCTATCGTGGATTCATTTCATCCTGTTACAGCGATATGGTGGATTTGGTGGCTTCGCCTCTTCCCCGGCTTTCGCCACGCACCGCCCAGGACGCTGCGACGGCGCTTTCCGATGGGATGGATGGTTTGGATGGACAACGGAATGGAGTTTGTCGGACACAGAGACGGCAAAGCTGGCGGGCAACGGTGACGGTAAAAGCGCACGCGTTACACACGGCAAGCGCGGAAGGACACAAAACGCACAGATCCCCTTGTCTGTTAAACGCGAGCGAGCGAGCGATCGAACTGCACACCGAACGACTAAGCAATGTGCAAAATATGATCACAATTTTGGGAACGCTCTGGAGTTTCGGCTTGAATTGGTAGAATGGTTTGGGAATGGTGAATTCAGTGTGGTTGGGCACGTATACAATTATACAAATATACCGTTTTTCCACTGCCACATCCGAGCCGAGCCAGCACGGGTTCCTTAACAGTGTGGGTGGTTTCCACTGGCTATAATGCCGAGCCGAGCCGGAACCAAACTGCGGTACGCTGGCCTCACAAGAAGGTCATCCGAATCTGGTTCGGGGCCAAGCAGGGCCAGGGTAGGGGCTACTGACGTGTCCATTGCACGTGATGTCATTCAGTATGCCGTGTGATGTCATTCAGTATGCCGTGTGATGTCATTCAGTATGCCGTGTGATGTCATTCAGTATGCCGTGTGATGTCATTCAGTATGCCGTGTGATGTCATTCAGTATGCCGTGTGATGTCATTCAGTATGCCGTGTGATGTCATTCAGTATGCCGTGTGATGTCATTCAGTATGCCGTGTGATGTCATTCAGTATGCCGTGTGATGTCATTCAGTATGCCGTGTGATGTCATTCAGTATGCCGTGTGATGTCATTCAGTATGCCGTGTGATGTCATTCAGTATGCCGTGTGATGTCATTCAGTATGCCGTGTGATGTCATTCAGTATGCCGTGTGATGTCATTCAGTATGCCGTGTGATGTCATTCAGTATGCCGTGTGATGTCATTCAGTATGCCATGTGATGTCATTCAGTATGCCGTGTGATGTCATTCAGTATGCCCTGTGATGTCATTCAGTATGCCCTGTGATGTCATTCAGTATGCCGTGTGATGTCATTCAGCATGCCGTGTGATGTCATTCAGTATGCCGTGTGATGTCATTCAGTATGCCGTGTGATGTAATTCAGTATGCCGTGTGATGTCATTCAGTATGCCATGTGATGTCATTCAGTATGCCGTGTGATGTCATTCAGTATGCCGTGTGATGTCATTCAGTATGCCGTGTGATGTCATTCAGTATGCCGTGTGATGTCATTCAGTATGCCCTGTGATGTCATTCAGTATGCCGTGTGATGTCATTCAGTATGCCGCAAGGACGTGAATGATGTACGCCGATTTGGGTAAGAAGATAACAACGATGACAAATAATCCGTCCCTACAGCCTTGCGGACATCTTGACCACATTGCATAGAAACGGTGGCTTGTTATTTTCGATCAACATTTAATAAATAAGCGCGATAATTCCCTCTTTATTGGCTAAGCCCCAGAACCAGCAAAAGGCCCACGTGATTTCAAACCCTGATTTGCACTTGATATGCCAAGGCACATGATATGCTAAGTCACATGATATGCCAAGTCACATGATATGCCGAGTCACAAGATCACACCAAGTCATAACAAGCAGCTATATTTACGTCGATCCATTTGTCACACCGTACTTCTACGTGGCTACCCTCCCAACCTTCGCTCCCCGCGCCCCACCCCCCTACACTGACCAGCGTGGTGAAGTATGGTCAAACAACACCCGCGACCGACATGGCATGGGGGAGGCCCTAATGTCCGGCAGTAAACTGACATTGGCGGCGGCGATACTCTGGCGAGAGGTTTGCTCTGCAGAGTCGTCGTGCGGGAAACCCAGCCCCCCCCCCTGCCCCCCCCTGCCCCCACCCCCACCCCCCCTCATCGTGCGCTGTCCTGCACTCTCAGGGTCGTCGAGAAGTCGCCGTGGCCTAGAGCCACCGATGGCACCGCCACCGCCGTCGCCGCTCCTCGTGGTCACTGCCACGAGGTGTGGCCGCTGCGCAGTAGAAGCAGCGACCTCCATGGCCTGACCCCGGCAGTCGCTCGCGCGTGGTCTTAGACTCACTTGGAGAGCCACAGACTCACTCAGACTCACTCAGAGAGCCGCAGACTCACACAGACTCACTCGGAGAGCCACAGACTCACTCAGACTCACTCAGAGAGCCGCAGACTCACTCAGAGAGCCACAAACTCACTCGGAGAGCCACAGACTCACTCAGAGAGCCACAGACTCACTCAGAGAGCCACACATTCACTGAGAGCGCCACAGACTCGTTCAGAGAGCCACAGACTCAGACTCACTCAGACTCACTCAGAGAGCCACATACTCAGAGAGTCACATACTCACTCAGACTCACTCAGAGAGCCACAGCCTCACTCAGAAAGCCTCAGACTCACTCAGAGAGCCACAGACTCACTCAGAGAGCCACAGACTCACTCGGAGAGCCACAGACTCATTCAGACAGCCACAGACTCACACATACACCCACAGACTCACACAGAGACCCACAGACTGACACAGAAACCCATAGATCTGCCCACTCTGAGGTTTCCGCTTCTCCGTGGCCACCGGACTTGTGGAGACCGCTCACAATGCTGGTCTCGGTAACCGGCCTTCATCCAAGTTTATATATTTTGAAAAGACTAAACGATTGATGCTCATATGTAATTTCCAAAAAAGTAAAGCCCTATGATGATATCATAAAAAAATTCAGCTGTAAGTCCTAACGCGACCAAGCCCCTGCGTTGTGCGTTGTGTGTGAACACACAGCATGTACGGACTGTGTGTGTGTGTACACACAGCATGTACGGACTGTGTGTGTTACTCGCCGGAGCGTGAGGCGTGTAAGAGCACGTGTCCCCCCATGTCCCAAGCAGCACCCTCCTGTCTCAAGAACTGGAAAGGAGTTCTTGAGACTCGACAGAGGCTCCAATACAAAATAACCACCACCACCAGTTACACCCTGGGACTTTGCAGTGTCTCGTGTTTTATCTCAGCCGGAAGAATGAAGCATCCATCTCGCCTGGTTTCATCCTAACCCCCCCTCCGCCCCCCCTGCTTACAGGGGGGGTTATAGGGGTATAGGAAAACGACGAGATAGGAATTTCTACTATCACCCATTGGCTACGCCACGAGGAAGGGGGAGTAGAGAGGCACGGGAAAAGGACACGGGGGCGGCAGAGGGAAGGGAGACTTGGGAAATATGAGAGTGAGAGGATGGGAAGTGAACGGAGAAACGGGAGCACAAGGCGAGAAGGGACGAGGAGAGAGAAGAAGAAGAGGCCTTGAGGAGCGGTGTGTCTGTTTTCACAGTAGGCGGGGAGAGGGGAGGGGCTCAGAGTGGGGGTGGCCACTCTGAAAGTCACGTGATTTTTTGTTTTGTTACAGGATTGCACTGATTTAGAGATATCGATGGATAAGGCCGAGGGCTATCTAGTGGTAGTGCCTTACGCCAATGATGTTGACTCCAAGCCAGCCGAGCAGCGTTCCGGAAACTATCGTACGTCAGGAAAGTCAGGCAGGGCGGCTGTACCATCGAGACTAAAAAGATTCCCTTTCATCGACCGCGTTTATCGATCGGTGATTGTCGTCTGCTCATGGTCGCCTCTGACGAAAGTCAATGGGTATTTCTATCGTCACTAATTTCGGAAGGAAAAATTACCACCACCTTGACCCTCACCCGCCCCGCTCCCACCCCTCGCCCCTCACCCGCCCCGGTGTGAGAACGCAGATTTAAATGTGCGACTGGATCTGAGTGCTGAACTCCTGGTCGCGCAGTACCGCGTCCAGCAGGTCTCCGTGAGGGTCTTCTCCTCCCACTCGGAATGGTGAGCTCTCCACATCGGCCCCTGCCACCACCCCCGCCATCTTGTTCTGCATCAGCTGCTGTAGTGGCTCTTCCTCCTCCTCCTCCTCCTTCTCCATCACCACGTACGCCACCTCCACTACCTCCTCCTCCTCTTCCTCCTCCTCCTCCTGCTTCTCCTCCTCCCCAGCATCAACGTTGCCGACAGCATCACCATCATCATCATCGTCGTCGTCGTCGTAACGGGTCGAGCCCTCAACCGGAACCTCCTCAACCTCCCGCGTCTTCTCCACCTCCTCCACCTCTTCATTGACCCCCTCCAGCTCGTCGCTGGTCGGCGTCGCGCCGTCCTTGACGTTGATCGCCGGCTCCAGGAGCTGGGCCCTGATCAACGTCACCGGGGTCTGCGCCATCGCGGGCGGCGCGTTGCTCAAAGCCGTGGCGGTCGTGCCACCGCCGGTGCGGATGGGAGGCACCACCTGAGCATCTTCCTCATCATCCTCCTCTGTGGGGTGAGCGTGGTAAACTTTCTCCAAGTGTCGTTCCTTCTCATCATCAACCTTCTCCTCCTCCTCCACCACCTCCTCCTCCTCCTCCACCACCTCCTCCTCCTCCTTCCCCTCGTCACCTCCCCGATCCTCTTCCCCCTCCTCACGCACGGCCGACCTCTCCGCGGCGATTTTATTGGCGGCCTCAACGGCGCCCGCCGGGATCAACGCCGCCACGGCCGCCTCCGCCTGCTGGCTGCACGCGGCCGCGTCCTTCATGACCTTCGCGACCTTCGTGACCTCCCCGACCTCCGCACCTTGACCCCGGGCGGGGGGGCCGTCCTTGTCACCGCTCAGCACGGCCTGGGCGAGCTCCTGGGTGCCGGCGACGACCGCATCCGAGCCGTCGGCCTTGGGCCGGACTTCCCCGTCTCCGTCGGCGCTGCCCTGGCCCTTGCCCTGGCCGAGCGAGGGCTCGGAGCGTCGGCCCTCGTCGCCGACCTTGCCGGCTCCCTCCTCCGGCGCGTCTGCGCCCTCCTTCTTGACCACCGCCCCCGTCGCCTGCCTGTTGCCCATCGCTGCGCGGGGGTGGGGGGGGGGTCAGAGTGCGGTGGGGAGCGGTCCGGAGAGTGAGCTGTGAACGCACGCGCACGCGCGCACACACGTGGAGGCATGCATGGACATCCGCGTGAACACACTCACCAGCACACCCACCAACGCACCCACCAACACACTCACCAACACACTCACCAACGCGCCCACCAACGCGCCCACCAACACACCCACCAAAAAGCGCACGGACCTTTATACTCCCACCCTCACACACACACACAGACAAAGATCCCCCGTGTAACCTTTAACAGACTGTAGGGGCAAGTGCTGTTAGCGAGTACCTATGAAGGTCAGCACGTTACACGAGGGGGTGGGTGGCCATCACCACGCCTGGCTGCCTTTGTCTCCCCAGTGGCGATGTTTACACACCGCACCAGATACTCATTTGAGGCTGAGTCAACCTAGGGTAGGCTCAGACCGATTCAGATAATCGTCACTGGTGTTGGCCGTGAATCGAACCCGTGTCGCCGGGTTCATAGCGCAGCGTAGCGCTAACCGCTACATTACCGCTCCCTACTACACACACACAGTCCGTACATGCTGTGTGTGCACACACACAGTCCGTACATGCTGTGTGTTCACACACACACAGTCCATACATGATGTGTGTTCGCACACACACCGGCACACACACCCGCACACACACCCACACACACACCCACACACAACCGCACACACACACAGACACACCCTCGCACACCCATACACACACCCGCATGCACACACCCACACACACCCGCACACACCCACACACACACCCGCACACACACCCACACACAACCGCACACACACACCCACACACACCCGCACACACATAGACACACCCTCGCACACACGCCCACATACACCCGCACACACACCCACACACACCCAAACACACACACCCAAACACACACACCCACACACACCCAAACACACACACCCGCACACACACACGCGGCAATAACCCACTGACTTGCAGCAATTTCCTTCCGTTGAGCAGTGACCACAAAAATGACTGCTTCGAAAATGTCCTCCACTCTCCTCCAACATCGCAGTGCCTGGTGATGATGGTGATGATGAAGGTGGTAATGATGGTGATGAAGGCGGTTATGATGATGATGGTGATGATGATGGTGTGCATTGCGCACATCATGGATCCCATCCCTGTATGGTCCGCCAACCGCAGACACCGACACTAACATTGTAAGTGCGGTAGTAGGTTTTTACCCTTTTAAACTGGTACAAAACTGACACCTTTATTCAAGGCATCATGTTTGCAATAACCACAACACAAGTAGTCAAAAAAGCAAACAAAAAGAAGCAACTCTGATAATGATAATAATATGCACTGTCCTTGAAGTTGATTGGTCCACACCCGAGACGGCTTTCTTTAGAGCCTAGTCCCCATTGGTGTTGGACCAGATGACACCAGAAGGCGTACAACTCAAACACAGTGCAATATCAGAGTATTGAGAGCTCGGGGTAAGCATTTACTCTAATGAGATCTCTTTTACCAGTGGCAAAATATAGTATTAGGTTTTTTGACTACTTGTGTTGTGGTTATTGCAAACATGATGCCTTGAATAAAGGTGTCAGTTTTGTACCAGTTGAAAGGGTAAAAACCTACTACTATATTTTGCCACTGGTAAAGGAGGTCTCATAGTATAAATTGTAAGTGCGGTTAACTATGATACCAAATCACTGCCGTCACCACCACCTCTATGATCACTGCCATCACCACTTACGTCAGCACCACCAAGAACATCACTGGCACCACAAACATCATTATCATGACTACCAGATGCATCATCACCACTACACCACCACTATCACTCGCAAAACAACCATTACTACCACACCCACCTCTACCATCTCAACCAAAACAACCATCACGACCAAAATCATCGCCACCACAACCACCAGCACCACCACAATCACCTCCACCACCACGACCAAACCACCACAATCACCATCATGACCAAAACCACCACCACAACTACCTCCACGATTACTACCAAAACCATTAGCACTTCAAAATCATCGCCACCACAACCACCGCTATCATTGCTACCAAAACAACCACCTCCACCATCACGACCAACATCATCGCCACTACAACCACCGCTATCATTGCCACCAAATCAACCACCTCCACCATCACGACCAAAATCATCGCCACCACAACCATCGCTATCATTGCTAGCAAAACAACCACCACCCCAACCAGCCACCTCCGCCCACGTCAGTCGATCAACGACCCAGACAAAAAAAAAATCTATATTCAGCAAGAAACTCAGCTCCGAGCAAAATCAACTCCTTTTGAATAATGTCTCGAGGTTTTGGGGTGGGGAGGGTGAGCCAGCTTTCTCCTGGGTTATAAATAATAAAGAAGCCAACAGACCGCACACAAACGCGGCTTCGTGATGCCGTCGCTGCTGCCAATGGCACCGCGACCAACACCGCAAGAGCCCCCGGGCGACCAGACCGGGGCCGTCACATGGTCGTCGTGGTCGCGGCGACGAAATCACGTGACGTCGCAAAAGCATCGCTCTCCTGTTCCCCGTTCGGTGTGGAGCGAGAGGGAGCGGGAGCTCCCGCGTGATTTAATCGTGAGCACCGCCGCGCGCCCCCTTGACCTAAAAAACTTTAAAATCGCGCGGACGAATTTATCGTCGCGTGAAAGTGAGCCCATGCCTGCCTTATCTCTAAGCGGGCGGTACCGGTGGGTCGGGGAGAGACACAGAGAGAGAGAGATCGGAGAGCTCTGCATGCAGTTATGAGCTACCCGTCGGAGGCCGTTGGACTGCGAGAAGGGCTGCGTGCAGAACGAGAGTGAGCGAGAGAGTGAGTGAGAGGGGGGGAGGTAGGAGAGTGCGTGGAGGGGAGTAGAGTGAGATGAGAGGGGAGAGGTAGGCGAGTGCGTGGAGGGGTAGTAGAGCGAGATGAGAGAGGAGAGGTAGGAGAGTGCGTGGAGGGGAGTAGAGTGAGATTGGAGGGGAGAGAGACACGGAGAGAGAGAGAGCTCTGCATGCAGTTATGAGCTACCCGTCGGAGGCCGTTGGACTGCGAGAAGGGCTGCGTGCAGAACGAGAGTGAGCGAGAGAGTGAGCGGGGGGGGGGGTTACATAAAGCAAAGCATTTTTAAAAATTACGAAATGATGAACGAAGCAAAGTGCCGACTACACCGAGCATCTTCTTGTTTCCACTGATCGTAAGAAAAATAGAGAGAGATCAAGACAGAGTGAGATCTCGAGAGAAATCAAGCCAGAGTGATATCTCGAGAGAGATCAAGACAGAGAGCGATCTCGAGAGAGATCAAGCCAGAGTGAGATCTCGAGAGAGAGATCAAGACAGAGTGAGATCTCGAGAGAGATCAAAACAGAGAGAGATCTCGAGAGAGAGATCAAGACAGAGTGAGATCTCGAGAGAGAGATCAAGACAGAGTGAGATCTCGAGAGAGAGATCAAGACAGAGTGAGATCTCGAGAGATATCGAGACAGAGTGAGATCTCGAGAGAGAGATCAAGACAGAGTGAGATCTCGAGAGAGAGATCAAGACAGAGTGAGATCTCGAGAGAGATCAAGACAGAGAGAGATCTCGAGAGAGAGATCAAGACAGTGAGATCTCGAGAGAGAGATCAAGACAGAGAGAGATCTCGAGAGAGAGATCAAGACAGAGTGAGATCTCGAGAGAGAGATCAAGACAGAGAGAGATCTCGAGAGAGAGATCAAGACAGAGTGAGATCTCGAGAGAGATCAAGACAGAGTGAGATCTCGAGAGAGAGATCAAGACAGAGAGAGATCTCGAGAGAGAGATCAAGACAGAGTGAGATCTCGAGAGAGATCAAGACAGAGTGAGATCTCGAGAGAGAGATCAAGACAGAGTGAGATCTCGAGAGAGAGATCAAGACAGAGAGAGATCTCGAGAGAGATCAAGCCAGAGTGAGATCTCGAGAGAGATCAAGACAGAGTGAGATCTCGAGAGAGATCAAGACAGAGTGAGATCTCGAGAGAGAGATCGAGACAGAGTGAGATCTCGAGAGAGATCAAGGCAGAGTGAGATCTCGAGAGAGAGATCAAGCCAGAGTGAGATCTCGAGAGAGAGATCGAGACAGAGAGAGATCTCGAGAGAGAGATCGGCGCCGCTGGAGATCCTCGTTGTTGTTGAATCATCGTCTCGGTCGCCGGTGATTTGAGCGGCCGCGTGTTTCTCAAAATCACCGTTCGTGATTGATGTACGCGTCACAGGAGAGCCGCACGGAGTTGTTGCTTGAAGATGTGTTCAGCCAATTTGACGACGATGATGAGTGTTGTATGATGTTGAACGTCTTTCCCACCGTACGTAGCCAATCCGTGCTAATCGGAGGTGTCTATTGTACAAGTGTGCGATTGAAACCCGGAGCGCCCGGAAGAAAAGAAAAGAAAAACCCGACACCTTGTGCGATGGAGCAACGCTCTATCCCCGCACAGATGGAAACGGACGGCGGATTAGTCCACTTCGCTGTGCCCGCCTTCGCCTGGCCAGCCAGAGTATGGCGGCTTCATCCTGCGAAGGAAGTTTCCTACGACCCGTCTGCACGGCGGTCCACCAACCCTCGCTGCTCGCCTCAACGTTGCTGGGTTACAGGCAGACGGAGACATGCGGCAAAAGCGAGCGGCGGTATCCTTGACGGCGGTGAAGCTGATGGTCTCGGTCCGGTCACCGATGACTGTGCAGTAGAACCCCCCTCCACCTTCACGACGGTGATTTGGTCGTTAAGCGAGGATGGGAGACACGGGAAAGGCTTCATTCGCTCCCATAGCATCGAAAGTTACCCCCTTTTCACCCAGAAAACGTTCTTTATAATATTGACACAATGGGTATTAATACTTGAAGATACTAACAACGTTGTAAACACGTAATGTTAAAAGCACGGTTAATCATTGCAATAATTACAATTTACTGTATCTATAACAGCCCGTCGTTAACAGGGGATTGGTCGTAA